AAGGCTCTTTCCTGCCCCTCCACACTTCCTCCTGCTTCAGTGTTTCAGGTGAGGATGGTGGACTTGTGGCAAATCACAAATTTCAGCATCAGGTAGGTGGGGGCTCCACTGGGCCACCTTGGGGGAAAAATGGCCACACTCGCCCTTGTTTATCCACCCCGGGTCTGCAGGTAACCACACCACATGGAGTTAAGTGAAATGCCAGAACAATACGAATCCCAGGGTTTAACCACATCTCTTCAACTCTGTGCCCTCCATGCCCCCTGACCATGGAAAGGGACATGGGTACAAGGCTCTGGCTCCCAGGACACAAAAAAGGGAGTCTGGGCCCCTGGCATCTCCTGAATAGAGTTCAGGGTCCTGTAACAGTGGCAGAGTCAGGGTGGTAAAGATGAATGATCAGAAACGAGGAATCTTAAGAGTGAGGTAAGGGTAGCCTCAGCTCCTGAATCTAATGGAGTCACGGGCCAGGATCAATGCCTACCTCATGCTCCAAAGCTCTGAAAATGGTACCCTCTCACCTCCCATCCCTTGTCCTTTTATTGGAAAAGCCCAATCCCTGGTAAGACGCACAGAGCTCCAAAAATGAAAACACTTTGATATAAACATTGGATTTGTGAACTTTGCCTCCCTTCTCATACTGAAACTGACTTGCTTCTTCCAGAAATTTCTAGGCCTCCTCCCCCTGCCTCTGTAGCTGCCCCTGCAGCCCAAAGACATCATCCCTTTTTGATACAAATAAAACAGAATATGTAATGAGAGGCTGCTGTTTTACATGAAAGTAACTTCACATACAAAGAATGCAGAGAGGCTGCTAAAACCAAGTTTTGCAACAAATCCTTATTATTAATTTAGGTGGTTTTCCCTATTGGAGCAGCAACTCCTCTCATATATTTAATTTCTTGCAAGGGAGAACAGTTAGCTCTGATTTCCTTATCTAACAGCATCATTTAAGATAACATGCGTAGGACAATGGAGAGAAGTATTAAGAAGCCTAAGAAGAAGTGGAAGACAAGGAAGTTCTTGCAGAACAGGGAAAGGGGTTTAGATGGACACGGAGGAAGCCTAAGAGCCAGGAGGAGACATGGCTGGGAGAAGACATGGGGAATTGGGGAATGAGTGCTCCCCTGTTGAAAGAGATGCTGCTTCCACACCAGAAACTGTGGAAAGGATGAAATTTCAGCAGCAGCTACTGCTGCATTCTCCAAAAAGAGGTTAGGCTTCCAAGCGAGGAAAGCCCCAGCCTGGGAAGCCCCAGGGTGTGGTCCAACTTCTATCCTGGACACAGGACACTGCCTTCACCACGGCTGGATTGTCTTACCAGCTCGATTGCTGTGCTAGGAACCAGCAGTAGCTCTTTTAGCCAGACTGCCTTCTTTCCAGAGGGCTGGAGCTACAAATGATGCTGCCTCCAGGAAGCACCCTTTAAGGGCTTTTATTTTGGTGAGGGGAGAAGGGTTCCTTACATAACAAATCTAAACCCAAGGATTTCTGGGCTGCGAGGCCCTCAGACTGCAGCAGGACAGTTACAGTTATGCAAGAAGTCATCAGGGTTTTCCTTTCTGAAGACAAAGGGGCCCAGAAAGCGAGCTTTGCATCAGAAAGCCAGCAGGACACAACTGGAAACTCTAGCCCAGCTGTTTCCGGTGTCCTGGAGAGCGTGAGCTGTGGGGCTGGGGATAGGAGAATTGGGGACAAGCAGGTTTGCTTGGTGGCAAAAGCTGTAACTCCAGGTCACAGAGAAAGACAAGTGACCAGTATGGTGTATCTGTCGCAGCTCCTGGCAGCTCCCACCATGAGTGTAGGTCCAGGTGGCCCCTTTGGGCAGGCACAGACTTTTGTGGTGGGTGGACAGAGGGTAGGCACGGGGTTGTCCTGCCACAAAAATACCCAGAGACCAGGGCTCCAGTGAATCTTGACTGTGACTGATCTGTGGACCTGGATCAAGGACCAACCTCAACTTCCACAGAGATCCTTTGCATGGGGACTTGGCACTTGCTGACCAGCGGGTTTCTGCTCCCTGTCACTCTCCAGCTGACCTTGGTGCCCAGGGGAGGCTGCAGACCTACCTGTTCAAGTTTTCCTTCCTCTCCGATCCTCCTGACACACTTCTCTACCCTTCCCGCCAGGCAGCGCCAGAATAAAAGAGAGAAGAGAAAACAAAAGAGAAGGAGAAAGTTCTCTGAAATGAAAGAGTTCAGAAGGGAAGGACTAAAGAAATGGGACATAGTGGAGGGAGGGAGAGGGAGAGGAGAAGAAGTAGAGAGAGAAGAAAGGGAGGGAGGGAGAGGAGGAAGGAGGGAGGGAGGGAGGGAGGGAGGGAGGGAGGAAGGAAGGAAGGAAGGAAGGAAGGAAGGAAGGAAGGAAGGAAGGAAGGAAGGAAGGAAAGGGAGGAGAGAGGTAAAGAGAGGACTCCACGTGGCAAGAGAAGGGGCAGGTGGCTCCCGGCTGCAGCGTACAGGAACCCCAGGCTCCCTGGAAGTGCCCAGAGCGCCTTTCCTTGACTTGCCTCGCTGAAGGTGGCTGCTGCGGACCAGCACCAGCACACTCGGGGTCTCAGGAAGGGGCTTGCGCCAGACCAGACCAAAGTCACCCCTGCAAGGGGCGCGGTCCGGAATGGAGCCACATTCCCGGGGCCTGAGTGTGCCCCCTGCGTGCGTCCCGGTGTCTCTGTGTGTCTGTCTCCGCATGTGTCTCCGGGAGCAGGCGCCAGCCTGTCTACTTAGGGCCAGTGCCGGCTTGGAAGACTCCCGACGCTGGGAGGATTTTCCCCTGGGGACGTGGAGGATCCAGAGGTGCCGGCGAGTTGCTGGGAGCGGTGAGAACCGAAAAGGTGCATGCAGATGCGGAGCGCCGCCGGGATGGGACAAGTCCGAGGTCCCGGGACCCAGTTCTTTCTTCTTGTGCTTGTGAGCACCCTGTCTGGGGCTTCGCGACAGGTCGGGACAGCAGGCTGCAGGTGGAGACGTGGCCGAGGCTTGCCTGCAGTCTGAACCTGCCCTCGAGATTCTGGAAGTCTGAGCCTGCTCTCTAGGCTGTCGCCCACATGTGCCTAGACCGGGTCAGTGTGGCTCGGTGCAGGAACGGATAGTGTCTGCTGTGGGCATCTATATGGCTGCATGGCGTGGGTGTCTGTGTTTCTGTGTGTCAATATGTCTCTAGGGTTGTGTCCTGGGATTGTCATCTTCTCCAAGATGCAATTGGTCACCCAACTGACCTGAGCTACCTTGTCCTGCTGGATGAAATGTGTCCTTTACTGGGTGGGTTTGAGTGTCTTTGCGCCTTAGGGAGGGAAGACCGAGACTCCGCAGTTTGCAACCCTCCTCAGTGTGGAGGCAAAAAAGTCTAGGTGACTTTAGAGGTGGCGGATGCGGCTGGGATGATTCCAAAAGGAGTCAGGCTGCTTGGGTGATTCCACCGGCAAGAGAATGTGACCCACCTTGGTCTTTGTGAGAGGCAGGCAGAGAGTTTCTTCTGATGCCCCCAGGGGAAGTGACAGAAGCCTCTTTTGCCCCAAAGGGGATGCATTTATGCATATAGGCACGTTCTAGGCAGGTGCATTAGCAAATACAATTAGGAAATTATCACACCCTCTCGCCCCTTCATCTACTCATAATGGCTCAACTACCTTCTCCTCCCAGATCTCAGCCAAAACCTTCCCTGCCAGAAAGGTCTTTTCGCTTATCTAAATGGACTGGTTTGGGGAATCAAATTCAAGATGAAATCCCTAGCTTCTCTCCTACAGGACACTGAAGAATTATATATGTAAATTATTGCTAATACTATTGTACCTTTATATTTTTAGCTCTCCATCCCTTTTCCCCAGACCCCCAGCCACCACCTCTGCCCGCCAGTCTCCAGGAATCCTGGCCAAAATCTATTCTCTGCCAGCTTCGCTCTCTCCTTCCTTCTCCCAAGCTCCACCCAGCTCAGGTTCCTGGCTGGAGCTCCTACACCCCACCCCCATTGGGTCCTGAAATTTCATGTTAGAAACTCTGGGCCAGAGAAATTCAATCTGAATATTGAGTCTAAGGAGCCTGGAAGTCCCTGAAGTTACTGCCAAGAGAGTACAGAACTCTTCTGAGATTTGGAGGTCCTATCCCACATCCCAGATGTGTCAACCCTAAGTTATAGACAGGGTTCCAAGGAGGCCAAGAACACCTAAGTGAACATTGATCTTCCAAGTATCAGAAAAAGGAAAGGGTCTAGGGCCACGTTCTGGCCTGGGATATTCAGGCTGCCGTCAGAGCTGGTGTGCGAGAATGATGACCCCAAAACCCCATTCAAGTCCCAATTTAAGGAGCCACTGAAATGCAGGCTCCGCAGTGGTGTGCCCTTCTGTGGGGCTGAGCGCTGCAAGCCTAAGCACACTACCCCCAAAAGAAGTCCTTGAGGAGGATGGGCTTCCTGTCTGGAGGGCCCTAAATGCCAAATCTGCTGGGTTTCACCTGCTTTCACCAGCCTTTGGGGGGGTCGGGTAGGCCTCCATTCAGAGCACTCAGCTCCAGGCAGCTCTGGTTGCCACCAGGCAGAAGAAAGTCAAGAGACCTGAAGCCTGGGCAGGAAGGCAAAGGGCCGCGGAGCACCCAAATGACGTGGTTTCCCCATCAGGGCAAGAACTATTGGCTTCCTGGTTTCTGCCATTCACTATTCAGAGCAGGGAAGTCTAGTAGGGTAGTTCTGATTGCCAAGCCTGAAAGCACTGAATAAGTGGCGTGTGCCCCATGCCTAGGGACTCCGAGGTCTTTTGGGCCCGCACCCTCTTGGCTCAGAAACAAACTCGACCGGGGTTTGGACCTAGGATGAGAAGCAGAAAATACATTTGAGGTTCACATACACACACTCAGTCAAACACTCAAGGAAGACAGCTGCCCAGACTTGGTTTTCTTTTCAATTGCCATGGGGGGAGAGTGCCCCCCAAATTGGTGCAACTCTTGAAGAAGCAAGAGAGTCAAAGTCATGCAAAGGCGGAGTTCTCTAAATAAACACCATTTCCATGGTTTTAATAAGCAAAATAGGAAACCATTTTAATAACCAAAAAACAGAAACCAGTCTGAATAAAACTACAATAGACTAGGTTTTAATATTTTCATATCATAAGCAGGGTTTGAAATTGATCCCTTATTTTACATGAAATAAAAACAATTTCTGTTGCGGCAAGTTTGATTTCAACACAGTTGAATCCGTAAAAACCAAAGCTCGTTTCTGATGCAGGACGAATATCCACAATATTTAAAACTGCAAGCACCATGCGGTTCATACAATCTTGTTATTACTGTTAATTTATCAACTAATACAAACTCAAAAATGCATCCGGCCAGCAGCGCCAGCAATTTCAAATGGGAACTAAAAAATATGCTTTCATTTTGTTTTTTGTTTTTTTGTATTTTTTTTTTTGTTTTTTTTGTCAGTGCAACTTAAATCCTTTTACTGACCTGCAGAAAAAAAAAAAGTAATAATAAAGAAAAACGCCCAGATCTTCCCTATAACTACTATACAAGTGGGGGGGGGGGGGGGGGAACCACCAATAACTCTTCCTGCTATCTCAAAAGCAGGGAACAAAACACATAATGCGTTGGTCTAAAGTTGCAAATTTACTTGCCAATGTTTGGGTTTCTGGTATATTTTGAGCAGTGGCAGCTGCTTCACTACAAGCTGGGGTCACCATTGATGGGGAATCTTCTCACCCTAGGAGGGCTGGGGGGCCTGCAAGGAGTGCAAACTGGAGAATTAAAAAAAAAAAAAAAGACCCTGGGGTGATTCTTCTTATTAAAATAAAAACCGGAGGAGATGTGTTTCTCTTTCCTCTCTTATTAGGGGTGTCAATTTGACCAGGAGACAAGGCAGAAATTGAGGACCATTTCTAGGGTCCCGGGTATGGCACTCCACCACTGCTCCTGCCCTTGTATCCTCTTTCCCTCAAAACTCCCCAAAATGAAAACTAAAGCAGGAGGACAAGAGAACCGAATGTGGACAAGGGAAGGGAAGAAAACATGCAACTTCTAAGGGTGCCCCAAGACAAAGTTGTTGCCTAATGCTAAATCCCCAGAACATTTGTTTGGTTTTTGTTTTTACTTACAAATTTTTTTTTTCAAATGTCATAATACTAAACCCAAACAAAGACACTTCAGCTCGCTGCCACGTTCTCTATTCGGTTTGGCGGGGCGGGTATTTACAAGCCGACAGCTGGGACTGAAACCCGGCTCGCAGCCGCTGGAGTTTCCAAACTGCGATCCCTTCTTACCCAAAGAAACAAGGGGGGTTATGATCCATGATCAACAACATGCTAAAAGTTAAACAAGAAAATGGTACAAAATAGAAATTATTACCATACATGTCCAGCATGCAGGATTAATATTTTTAATGCAGATTTTCGTATTTTTTTCTATATAATCGAGCAGGCAATAAAACTGATGAGATCTGCGCGCCGAACGTCCTAACTGAGGCCCGCGTCTCTCGGCTGAGAACCACTGTTCTCCGGACTCTGGACAGGCAGGTCCCACTGCTCTTCCTCCCTTTGCTCAGCCTCGCCTTGAGCGGGCTGGGACGCCAGGGTCCCTCTCCTCTCCTCTGCTCTCTTCCTGGGGCGGACTGAGCTCCGGACTTCGAAGCAGCGGCCCCAGCACTCTCAAAGTTCAGAAAGCCAGGAGTCTCCAGACTGCTGGGCGACTCTTAGGTAGTACGCCTCGCCGCCTTCCAGCCTAGAGAAAAGTTGCTCCGGGATCTCCCACCCTCCTCGTCTCTCTGGCTCTGCTGGAGTCTAGGAGGCGGCGCTGGCGTGCGCTGCTCTCGCCTTAGCCAAGGTCCCCTGCCCGCCCGCGCTCCCTCCCGTAGCCCGCGGCCCGTGCGCCCTTCCTCCCTCTCGCTCAAGTCAAACAGGTCAAGGCTGGGGCCATGGCAGGGACAGAGTCCAAGGGAGTCCAGGGCTGGGGACACGGGACAGGGGATCCGGGCCCCGGAAAGAGCGGGGGGCCGGGACCCGCCACGACTCACAGAAAGAACTCGGGAGAGGAGGGGCTGTCGCTGGTGGAGCCCGCCTCCCTGAAGCCGGAGTTGGCGAGTTTCTCGCACTTGACCTTGTAGGCGTCTCTCTCGCGGGCCAGCCGGGACACCTCCTGCTTAAGCTGCTCCACCTGCTGAATGAGCTGGGTCTTCTCATTCTCCAGGTGGTGTTTCTGCTGGACGCGTTTATACCTGCACGACTGGGCGTAGCCCCGGTTCTTCAGGGTCCGCCGCTTCTGCTTCAGGCGGATCACCTCGTCCTTGGTGAAGCCCCGCAGGTGGCGATTCAGCTCACGCACCGACATGGACACTAGCTGGTCGTCGGAGAAGCGGTCCTCCACGCTACCGTTGCCTCCCGCCGCCGTCGCCGCGGCCGCCGCGTGGGGACCCGGCCCGGGGTGGCTGGTGGGCAGCTGTTGCGCTGGGCTGGCTGCGCTAGACGGGGGCGGCGACGCTTGGTGATGGTGGTGATGGTGCGGGTGAGCGTGCGGGCCCAGCTCATCGTGGGCCACTCCAGCGCCGGGGTACGCGTGGTGCGGGTGAGGGTGGTGGTGATGGTGGTGGTGGTGAGCGCCGCGGAAGCCGTCGAAGCTCTGCAGCGGCTGTGGCACTGGGTGCGAGCCGATGAGCGCCTCCACCGCGTCCTCGGGCGTCAGGTTGAGCGCCTCAGGGTTCATCTGCTGGTAGTTGCTCGCCATCCAGTACAGGTCCTCGAGGTGGGTCTTCTGTTCGGTCGGGCTGAAGCTGGGTGAAGAGGGCACCGAGCTACACGGTGTGCTGAGTGGTGTGGACGACACCGAACCGGCGGGCTGCAGGCGCGTGCAGGGCCGGCCCGGACGCTCTGCACGCCCCAGCGGCTCCTTCTTCACGTCGAACTTGAGCAGGTCGAAGTCGTTGACGTACTCCATGGCCAGCGGGCTGGTGGGCAGCTCTGGCCCCATGCTCAGCTCCGCGGCCATCGCTAATGCGAGGCTCAGCCGCCGCTGCCGCCGGGGAAACTTTGCGGCCGGCCGGAGCGCGCCGAGCCAAGCGCGGGGGCGAAGAGCGGCGAGCCGGGGAGGCGGAGAGCCGAGGGCGCAGCGGGCCGGGGCCGCCGGCCAAGCCTTTGTCTGGGGACGCGGCGGCGCGCCGGAGAGTCCCGAGGCTGCCTGCGCTGCCCCAGTGCCGGGGTCTGTGGCCGCTACGGGACCGAGCCGGGTCAAGCCGGGCAGGGTGGAGAGGCAAGCCAGGCGCGCGAAGGGCGGAGGGGAGGCGCGGGGCGAGCGCCCGCCTTTCGCTTTCTCGCTCTCAAGCTCTAGGGTTCTCTCGCTCGCAGCCGCTCGCAGCCCGGCGGTGCAGCTGTGCAGGATCCGCCGCCGCCGCCGCCTTTTATCGCTTTCCTGATGTCACTGGGGCGCAGGGGCCCGGGCGGCCCGGCGCGCTGGCCAATGGCTGCACGGCCCCAGCGGCCCAGCGGCGCTGGGCGGGGCGCGCCTGACAGTTCCCCCGCCCCCCGAGTCAGCTGACTGGAGGCCGGAGCAGCCCCGGAGCCGCCGAGGCCTGGCAAAGGGCTGCAGCGGAGTGGGACGGCCGGCCTGGGCCCAACCCCCCACCCTCCAGGTCCTGGCCCCTGCACGCTCGCCTTAGTTGCGCGCCCCACCTCTTGGCCAGGTCGCTTCTTCCACCCACACACACCCCGGGCACTCTCACCTCCCTCGATATCCTTTGCATCCCTATTCCAGCCCGTGTCACTCCCAAGGAGGCTCGGAATGAGCGCAGGGACGAAATCTCCCGGGCCCTTTGTTCCCAAGCGGCCCCCGCCCAGTGGGCGACGCTCTGTGTGCCCTCGCGGCTGCTGGCCGAGTGAAATGTGTGCCATGTGTGCCTGTGTTTCTGAAGGTCTACGTGTATTTGTGTGTGTTGGAGGGAGGAAGAGGTTGGGGCTCCGAGAGTTGTGTTCAGACCCAACTCTTAACCTCAGGGGACCTTTCTTGGGCCAAGATGGGCTGTAACCCTCCTAGCGGGTGCAGTGGCGGAGTCCTAAGATACAACTCCACCGGCCTTGCAGCTCCCTGCGCTTACCCCACCCCCAAATGCTCACGACGGAGGTAACCGAGAAAGAACCGGCCCAAAGGCCCCAAATCCCTTTCCCCAGTCAAATGCACGGAAACCAGAGCGCTCTGAGGTTCGGGGCCGAGGCCAGCACGGGACGGTGCTCGGGGTGTCTCTTGGCTGCTAGGGAACGGGCCCTGTTTTTGTTTGAACGTTTTGTAACGATTAAGCAGATCCCGGCATGTGCCGGCCGCGCAGAGGCTCAAACAGGCATAAAGTGCGACCCCAAGTGGCCACGGTGCGCAAAGGCGCCCGAACCGCCCGGCCCTTAGCCAGAAGGCTTGGACGGCGCCCGGACCCAGCCAGGTCTCCCTACTTGGGCCAACCCGAGCTAGCACAGAACGCAGGCAGCGACTGTACTAGAGCCTAGGACAGGTTCCCCTACAGCCACGCACGTGTCGTCTGGTCCTTTCTTCCGTCTTAACCGCCAGCCCCGGTTGCCCCCGCTGAAATTCCTTGCCCCCGCCTTCGGAGGTGCCAGTAGGCTGCTTCCCGCGCGGAAAGGTCCTGGACAGGGGAGGTCCACTGACGGCAAGTGGAAACGCCACAGCTAGGGTGCCCAGGGCAGTCCAGTGAGAACCCTCCCTGGAGCGCAGACGGGGAAACTGGAATGCAGCACACTAGGCATTCAGACAGAGCTCTTAGGCGCCTCGCACTCTCCCTACCCCGGGCCACGATGGCCAGAAATAAGGAATCTTCCAGAGACCCGGACCCCAACATCCCAACGCTGATAAATCGCGAATTCGCTGGACGCGGAGACGCGACCCGCCTCCGGCGTGGCGTTCTGCTCTCCAGCTTTGGGTGCGCAGCGAAAAGCGAAAGAGTGCTCTGGGTGAGTGTGCCCCAGCCGCTATCTGCAGGGGACCGGCATGACTGACACCGCGCATAGGGGTCCGGTGGGCCATACCAGTGCGGACGGGACCAGACTTAAGTCAACTGTTAGAAAGTAAAATATTTGATTCCGAATAATCTGAAACTCCTCTATACTCTTGCCTTCGGGGAGGCTGGGTTAGGGCGTGGTCATACTTGCCTATTTTTAATAAAATGAACGTATTTTAACTAAAACTTGAAGTAAACGGTTCATATCACTAACTGTAATACTGAAAAAAAAATCTGTCTTCAACCCTCTTTGAGAAGCGTGGTTTCTAAATGATTTGGTCGCCTGGGGAGAGAGCCTGGCCCGGTCTGCGGCGCTGCTCCTACCCAAAGCTTGGTGTTGGGAACACGCACCCGCCAGTAAGTGTCCGGGTCGCGTTCTCCTGCGGTGAGCGCAGGCTTGGACCGCGGCTTAGCGGAGAACGTTTCGAGACCCCTCTCAACCTTCCGTCTTGGGTCTGCGCAGACTATGGCTTCCGCCTCAGGTGGCCTAAGCGGGACAACACACCACTCTCTGAACCTAGCAGCTCCCTTCCTCCGAGTGGAAAGAAACCCTGGGCTTCTTTAGTGCGCCCAACGCTACTGCTTTCAGCGATGCACACCAAAAAAAGGGCAGGCGGGGCCATGCCCTACCCCCATGGGTCCCCTCTGTTCTTCCAGACCCTTGCCTTGAAGAACTGAGACCTGAGTTTCAAGAGTGTGGTCCATTGAGGCCCTGGGGATTCCTGTGGCCCCAGCCCTGCAGTTCCAAATGTCCAGCAGGCGCCCTGCCACCGTCTTAGGGTCTGTAGGACTCAGGCTTTGTCTGGGCAGGTTCACTTCTCTTTGTCCCAGTGCCTGTCTCTGTTGTCGTCACTCCCTTCCCCTGGGCTTTGAGATATCCATGCTGGTTCCTAGGTTCACCTCTACCCAAAATCCGTTTCTTTGCAGCTATCCCAGCGTAGCCACTCCCTCTTTCCCCATCCCCCAGACATCCCACCCCCCACCTCCCAAAAGATTGGCAATAACCCCACCCCTGTCTGGCGGCGGCGAGTGACAGAGACCTGGAGGCTGCCCTGGAGCGAAGGCCATTGCGGGGCAGCAACCCCACTTCGTGGCCAGTTTGGTTCCCGTTTCTGTTGCGCTCGACCTGAAAGGTCTCAGAGCCCCCGGAGCCCTTTGACCTCTGGGCTGCCTTCGCGGGCTCTGAATCAACTTGCTGGGCTCTCCATCCTAGGTATACAGCAGGACCCGGGGGGATGCACCCTATTTCTAAAAGGCTGGTGGGGTCGAGGAGTGCTGAAAACCTCTCAACTGGGAGTCCAACGCACTAAAGAAAACCAGAAGGGGTGGCGGGAGAAGCGAAGCATCGGAGGAGAAGCAGTGGAAAGGAAGACAGGATCCAAATCCGTGCAGAGTTCTGAGCCTCATGGAAACCCCAGGATTAGCAGCAGCCTTCTACTGAGCAGCTGGTCTCTAGCCGCCAAAACTCCAAATTGAGGAGTTTCACGCAAAATAGACCTCCTCTCCTTACCCACCTCACGTTGGGCCAAATTCACCACCTTGGGATTCTTTAACAACAGATCCTAATGAAGGGGCCCCAGCAGGGACGAAGCCTCAGGCACTCGGGATGGTGGCGGTGGGGAAAGGTTATTCTCTAAGGGATTGCAGAGCCCACTGCCAGCTGCTGGGTATGAGGCTCGCTGCGCTGCCTTTACGCACCCCGTGCTCAGACAACAGGGTAACTAGTGAGGCTGCGCTGCGCGCCCTCCTCTGCGCTTCCAGAGTGGAGCGCAGCTCTCTGCATGCGCGTTCAACCGGAAGGTTCGAGGTTGACCCGTGGATTTCCCGGATGATTGCAGGTGTTTGGTGAGCAAATAGGAGAACTCCTCACCCAGGGGGTGAGGTTGGAGGTGTACGGAAAGAAGGGCGGGCAGGTAATGGAGGGGGATGTGCCTTGGGTGGGGAGCCCGCAGCACTGAGGAGCTGGAAACTCCCGGGCCTCAAAGCCAGATGGTTTGCAAGGTGGTACTATCCGGGCGCCAAGCAGAGGCCGGTGGTCCCAAGGTCCCCAGGGCTCACCCCCAGGAGCCCTCTGTGTTTTCATTATCCACAGGTAGTGTCACTAGTTTCTTTCCAGGAGCCTCTAGACATCTGTGACTTCCCAAAGGAAAGAGGTTTTTCTGCCTTTCCTCTTTCCCAAAGGTACCTACCACTTCCACTTTCCCCTGCCCCACACAAGGGCCATCAGATTCCAACCCAGTACTTGCTCTTAGGGTTGTGTCCTGGTAGCATTTAGGCAGCAGAAGGTTGAGCAGGTCCCAGATGGGAACCAGTTACATTGACCCTGCAAAGCCCTTTCCCTGGCTGCTACCCCAAGAGGCGAGGGACCTGCCCACCCCATGTACACACAGAGAGTGGGAATTTATTATTAATACACCTGTTCCTTTTTACTTCGTTTTAATATGACTGCTAGAAAGTTTTAGGTTACACGTGTTATCCACATTCTATCTCTATTGGACAGTATTGCATTAGATAACCACTGGGCAGCACTGCTCCAGTATAGAGGGGCTATTCCAAAATGACATTCACTCTATTCATACAGGGATCTCCAAGGCCTTTTATGTCATTCAATTCTCACAACTTCAAGATGTAGCAACTATTATTATGCCTATTTTGCAGAGATAGGCAGGCAGGCAGGTAGATGTGGCCATACAGCAGAGTTCTAAGAGCTTTCTGCCTGTCAGCTCCCTCAGTTTACAAGTGCCCTTTGTGATCAGCAGGATCATCCCCGTCTTGCACAAAGACCAAAGTTATCAGGGGTTAAATACTTAAAGTTATGCCCCCAGTGATGAGCTGGAACATCACCTTCAAGTCCAGGGCTCTGAATATTGTGAAGTGTAGGGTCACTATCTCAGCAGGCGCATCCCAGGGATCCAAGTGTCTGTGCAATTCTTCTCCAGCCATCTCTGAGTCAAGATTTCCAACTCTCCATGGGATTAGTGTTGTTTTGGGTGGTGTTTTTTTTTTTTTTTTTTTTTCTTATTGTTGTTTGGTTGGTTGGTTTTTTTGGTTTTTTCACTGCAGAACCTCTACCAAGTGCCAAGTCCCTTCTGAGAACTCAGTTCTGAGGGAGGTTTTTAATGTGCCTTCCTGTAGATGACCACAAACACCCTTGGGCTCTTTCTCCTTCCCTTTCTTCTCCCCTGAACGTGTCAGAGCCTCAGAGAAACCAGGGTAGGGGTGCAAGTTAAAGAAGAGAAATTTAACCAAGTTCTCCCATCCCGTCCCTTGCCATTGGCCTCAGACTGACCTCTGATCTTAGCTCCCATCCTTGGAGCTGTCTTTAGCCTTGATCCTCAGCCCTGCCTCTGGCCAGAGTTGGATCTTCA